CCACTTATTTACAGATGGGCACCAGCCATCCACACCCTTTCCTGGCCAACTTTGGGGACACGCCTCTGGCCCAAACCAAGAATGCACTTACACAATCCATATTCCGGTGATTGAAAAGGCTGAGAGGCTGATGGGGAGGAGGATCCACGCTGTCATTAGTGAGTACAGGTACACAACATGTGTGCAGGGGAGGGGAGGGAAAGAGCCACAAGAGGAGGGAGGGGAGGGGAAAAGGAGAGGAAAGGGGAGGGGATGGGTGGGCGCTGGCTATGGGACTTGGCCTCTGGCTGGAACCATCAGAAGATGCCCTCCTGGAAGAAAAGCAGGGAGGGAAAAACAGGTCGGCTGGTCTCAGCGGGGCCAAAGGTTGCAGCCGAGACCCTTGGCCCCTTGGCCCCATCTGTGCGGGGATCCTCACTGAGTGCATTTCCCCATCTAGCCGGCCCTGCAGCCAGGCCTAAACCCCTTGTTTTGCTGCCGCCACCCCCACTTCCCATCTCCACTCAGCAAAATTAAAGCAGACAAATCCCCCCCCCCGGTTGCCATAGAAAGTGAGCAGAGAGACTCAAGCAACACTGCATGTTTCCCGGAGTGGCACGGCACCCTTCCCAGGTTTCCACGGTCCCCCCCCCACCCGCCACAGCTTCGATGGGAAGGGGGCAGGGAGGCCAAGAGCCTGGGAGACCAGCAGGGCCTCTCTTTCCTGCTGGCGCTCAGAATTGTGCAAAGAGGGCGGCTTCGCAGGCTCAGTTTTTCTCCTCCTCCTGTTGAAGGCCTGGCCTCACATCCGGAAGCTGCCCAGACCAGGGGACGCTGGCTAAAGGGTTGCTACTCACTGGCCTCCCAACCAGTCCTCCCTCTCCTCATCTTCCCAGGTGGGCACCCCAGAAGGTCAGCATTTCAAAGGGATCCCAGATGTGCTCCAGATGTCAGCCCAGAGTTTGCCAGCAGCTGCAGGAGCCCCCCTGGCTTCCTTCCCCAACATGCCTGCCCTGCAAGCACCTCCTTCTCTGAGCATTGGTCCTCCCCCTCTTTCTAGGAATCAAGGTCAAAGATGGCACGGGGGGCGCACAACCAACGTGGCCTCCCTCCCGTTTGCAAGACTGGGCACCTCTTCCTTCTCCAGGTACACAAAGCAGACAATGTCCGTCACATCGGACAACCTTTTCATTCTTGGTGAATGAAAAGCAGAGGAGATATACTCAAAGAGAAAAGATAAGCCTCCAGGCTCACACTAGTTCTGCCTTGTGTTCCTACCACCCGAGGTAGTGGATCAGGCTAAAAAGACCAGCTGAGGACTAAGATTCAGGAACAGGAGGAATGTGTTTGAGCCCAGGAACCAGTTCTACTGGAATGCATGAACACCTACCTACCTGCCAGAACAAACACCAGCCTCCCCTGGCAGCCCTGGGGAAGAGCCAACCACTTTTCACCTTCTGCGCAGCTTTTACAACAACTCCTAAAAAGACCACTCTTGCCCTGGGAGCCTATATTCTCTCTCTCCCCCTCTCTGCCCCTGGAACCCACTTCCCTCTCTGGATGCATGCTCACAACATCATAGCCAACATAACCCTCTTCTCCTGCAAACATCCTGAAGTCTTTGGGGGAAAACCAGGGGATGGACGGAGGGGGTCAAAAACTCTTCTGACAACCTAGATCCCCTGTCCTCGATTACGATGCTGCGCTTGTGACATCCTCCGGCATGTCGCCGGTTCTTTATCATCAAGCAGAAAACAGTCTAAATTCCCGTTAAGCCTCCTCCCTTGTCTTCAGCATTCATGATAAAGCCTTACGGGAACGCTGGTGCAACATTTTAAGAAACGCCCAATGCGCAAGGGCCCCTTGCAATGCTTCTCCGTTCCCGTTCTGAGTTTTTAAAAATACTTCATCATGAAGTTCAGGGCTGCTTTCCTCACCACTTCCCTTTGTCCCACCTATGTCCCTGAGAGAACGCCGTCAATGGCCAAGCGCTTGCCTCAACAACACAATCTCAGTAGGGTTAGTAGCCACCCTGGAGATTTAGGGAGTGTCTTGTCGTCTGAAGGGCTGCGTGCCATCGGTCTAACCACAACATCAACAATAAACCACAGTCACTTCCACAGCCAAGCTGGGAAACCCTGCTTTGCACCCAAACACATTTTCCTGATCAAATTTGCTGTCTGACCACAATTCCGTTTGTTAGATGTCGTGGTCTATGCAGGAATGGACATCTAAGGCCACAACGGCTGCTTCTTTCATCCTGCCATGGTTGTGTTGTGTGTTTCTGGCCTGACCTCCTGTAAATCTCCAGGTGGTGAGCAAGCAAGCGCCTCTTTCCTTGATGTCAGCTTCGGGCCGTCATGTTCAGAATAAACTTTGCCAGATAGGCACCCCTCTTAAAAAGCCTTTCCATAGACCAGCATCTCCACTAGAAACTCTTGCATCTGGCTTTACCCTTCTTTGGTTAACGCATGCCTGGGTATTTTATTTCTCAGGCAGCTGTTCCTTGTATTTTCTTGCTTGTTTTTCAAGATCCTGACACATCCCTGTCGAGAGCTCAGGTCACTCTCTTCCCAAACACCAGCACACCCTTCGTTTCACTGAAGGTAAACTCAAAAGGCAGTTCAAGGCAGCTAATAACATACTGAAACAAAACATCAAACAATGTATTCTGGCCGGGATCTGATGGTTGTTGTGGGTTTTTCGGGCTCTTTGGCCGTGTTCTTCCTGAGGTTTCGCCAGTCTCTGTGGCCGGCATCTTCAGAGGACAGGACTCTGAACTCTGTCCATGCTCTGTCTGAAGATACCGGCCACAGAGACTGGCGAAACCTCAGGAAGAACACGGCCAAAGAGCCCGAAAAACCCACAACAACCATCAAAATATCAAAGAGTTTGGAAAATATTTTGAATTAGTGAAAATACTGCTGTAATCCAACAAAACAAATATATGACACCATCCAGAAGATCGGCTTCCTGACATTTGGTCAAGACCGTGCGAATTGGCCAATATCCAAAACCAGCATTAAGGATGACAAACGGTTCTTCTGCTCCTGCCAAACCAAGTCAATAATGGCAAATGATTTAAAACGTAAATACAAAAAAAGAAGTAAGCCACCCAAACATTCAGAAAGAAACCAGTGGATCCAACAGGACAAGCTACCTTACCCCCGATCGTGCCGGATTTCAGCCGGGCTATTCCTGCCTTGGGGGGCCGTTCCCTGGCATCCCTTGCCCTCCCCCTTCCCACCCTAACCCCCTCCCCAGACACCGCTGGCTCCCCTGATCTTCAGGCAAAGAAAGGGCAGTGGCTTGACCTTGCCTGCAGAAGGTCCCGCTGAGCGAGCCCGGACTCTGGCCCCAACACCCTCCTGGGGGTCGCGGGGGGGGCGAGGCGGGCGGCTGGGCGAGAAAACACCAACCCCAGCATCCCCGCCCATGC